TTACATAGAGAGCTCTGGTAGTGTAGTGGTTATGAGTTGGGCTGCTATCCTCAAGGTCAGCAGTTTGAAACTACCAACCATTCCGTGGGAGAAAGATGAGGGTTTCTGCTCCCGGAATGGTTGTCATGAGTTCGAATCGACTCCACAGCACATAACCACTGTGTTACATGGGTCACTAGGGGTTAGCATCCAACGAACAATACACACAACCCATTAACAGCCACTCCCATTCTTGTAGCTCTCCAACCCCTCACAACCCACCAATCGACTTTCTGTCTAACAATTTGTCTATTTTGCATATTTCTTTTAAGTAGGATAAGGTGCGCCTGATCCAAGCCATGATATTTTCAATCACCTCACATGCATGTGAATGTTGAACAATGTATAAAGAAGAATGGAGAAGAATCAATGTCTTTGAATTATGGTATTGATGATGAATATTGAAAGTAACCATAAACTGCCAGAAGAACACACAAATCTGTCTTGGAAAAAGTATAGCCAAATTGCTTCTTAGAAATGAGAATGGTGAGACTTCATGTCTTGTACTTTGGACATGCTGTGAGGAAGGACCAGTCAGTCTCTGGAGAAGGACACCATGCTTAGTAAAGTGGAGGGTCAAGGAAAAAGAGGAAGACCTTCAACGAGATGGAGTGACACAATGGCTATAATAATGGGCTCAAACGTAACAATGATCGTGAGAATGGTGCAGGACTAGGCAGTGTTTTGTTCTATTGTGCATTGGGTTGCTGTGAGTTGGAACTGATTCAATGGTACCTAACAAGAAGAAGAAGAAGATCATATAATATGTGTCCTTTCATGTGTGGCTTCTTTTGCTTTGTTGTTGTTAGATGCCATCGAGTCAGTACTGACTCATAGTGACCTTATGCACAGCAGAACGAAACACTACCCGATCCTGGGCCAACCTCACTACTGTTGGCATGCTTGAGTCCATCGATGCTGCCACCTGGCCAATCCATCGCGTTGGGGGGGTCTTCCTCTTTTACTCTGACCCTCCACCTTACCAAACATGACTTTTTTTAAGGCTCAGGCATGTTGTAACATGTAACAGAGCTTCATTACTTTTTTTCCTTCTAAAATTTATTTACTTTGTTGTTGTTGAGAATATACACAGCAAAATATGTACACAACCTCCACAGTTTCCGCATATACAATTTAGTGACACTGATTACATTCTTCAAATTGTGCCACCTTGGTCACCCTTGTTAGCTGAATTCGGTGTTTCATTACTTTTTTAAAATTTTTACTCAAAGATTTGTTTTATTGTAGTACACGAGTTGTGTTTGATGGGAGGGACCGATGTCGTGGGCAACCATTGCATTGGTTAGTATGCCCTTCCAGATGGCCATTAATGTGCCACTCTGCCACCACACTGCATCATATGGCCTGTCAACCTCTGACCCTACATTCACATTCCCACCTGAGACAGAAAAAGGAGCCAACACAAAATTCATCTTCGTGCGGTTGAAGCAGCTTGGCTGGGACTGCCTGAAGCCACCATGGTGGTGGTGGTGATGGTATGCCGTAGCTATCAGTCTCTTGC